TAGTACATGGTTCTGAATGTTGTGATGGTAAGAGCGGAAGAGAAAAAAAAAGGATAATAATGAGTGGACCTTTTGGTTATTCCCATGATCTTCTATTTATAGGTTTGGATTTGGGATCATGAAGGCCGCATAAATGATTACATAATAAGCAACATTTATGAAAACTAGGATTGTAACAAGCGAGAAGCATGTTTATCTTGATAAAGTCTCAAAAAAAGTTACCACCATTTTGAAGTGACTGTTAGATTCCCTTCAAGTTATGATACTTCCATGTTTATATACAACCAATTTAGTATGCCTAACTTACAAAGGTTGGTGCAGAAATAGATTAGGCTATTCTAGAGTTATAGGAGATGCTATATTTTTGTGTCCAATTAAATGATCCAATTTCTTAGACATCATCAGTGAGGAGTTTCCATCAAGTTTGGTGAGTTAATTAGTATTGAGCCTATGGAGTGAACTAGCACTACCCAGCTTAAAGAGCTTGTTTAGTTAGTTCATCATTTAGTTAAGTGAGTCTTCCTTAAGTTTGTACATCTAGTTCCCTAATTCTCTTACTTATTTAAAATGTGACAATGATAATACGTAGAGAATATGAAATCATCTGATGTTTCTAATCGTAGTTTATAATTTATTTGTCATTATGCTTAAAAATTTATCTTTGTTTTTAACTTGGCTTTATAATAAGTCAATAATAGTATTTTAGTTATATTGGTTGCATTTATTATTCTCGAGAAATATTTCTTGAGCATTTTAATAAATTTAATGTATTCTATTCATGTACTTTGATAAACTTGTCATTTACTAGACATATGAAGGAATAACTCCCCAACAGATTTCTCATTCCATTGCATGAAAAGATTTTTATATATTAAGGTTTTTTTTTCATTTAGTATAATTTGTGCTCTGCAGTCTCTAAACCAATAATATAATACTTCATGTTGCCAATAAGTTGGTTATGATCAAGATGCTAGGATACTAAAAGTCAGTTACCAAAGAGAGAAGAAAGAGAAAAAGAGTCATCATGGGACCCTCTAAGATAAAAAAAGGAGAAGGGGTAATAACAATAAATAAGGTTACTCTTATAAAAATCTCATTAAAGTATTCCACATATGCTGCTACCTTTTCTAAAAATGCGCTATGGAGTATGGGTTGGTGAGTTGGTTGAAATTCATGGTTGGGCTTGTTGGTTCATTTTTAAACTTTACATTGTTGTATTTTTAAAGCATGCTAGGAGGATCAGATTGAAAAGATACTTGAGTCTTTTCCCATTGAAGATGCCCTAGTCAATGAAGGAGTTGCCATAAAGTGCAACACTTGAGGTAAAAAGAGTTCATCATCATAACCTCATGATAAACTTTACTTTCTTAGCGAACTAAACTGGAGAGACTACTTTTGGATGTGATGTTGTTGTGAGTTCACCAATGCTAGCACATCAAATCAAGGATTTTTCCACCAAATTATAATTATGTTTATTACTTGTCATTACTTTGCTTGAGTATGGTAAGCTCTTAATTACTAAGGGGATGTCTTCAATGCATCACTCAAAATTATTGAGTTTTCAAAGATAATAGAAGAAATTCCCATATATTTATTACTGACTTAAAGATGTGGTGGAGTTTCCATCTAGAACAATTGCAATTTGTTAAGGGTGAACTAGCAAATCAAGCTCTTAGAGTGGTAGCAATAACTAAGAGGCCAGTCACTTTTGAAAGGCGGATTGATTTATCAAGCAAAGCTATTTGTCATTTGAGCAAGGAACTTCAACATATGAAGGTTGAATTCATTCTAATTCAATATACTTTGGAGTCACTTAAGTCTAACAATTCTTAGTAGGGTGTGATTGCATCTTTGTCACTTAATGAGCACAAAGCATCTATCTATAGATTTTTTAGTCAATCCCATTTTCATGATCTAGTATTATTATTAGTAGCAACTTTGGTGAAAGATCAAACCAACTTAAAATTTTTTTTTAACAAAAATAATTTTTTATTCAAATAAATTAAAATATTTAAAGATCTATATGTGGTGAACACAAAAAATAAAATAAACAATAGTTTATAACACTACTATTTTTTTCGACCTAAACTTCATATCCTCAACTAGTATTATTCTTAACTTGAATAATTAATGTCACTCCCCGGAAATGACACCAACAGCATGATACAACTTTATATGTTTTTTTCTTGTATAGGATAATACATTTCATTCAGTGATTATAATGTTCTTTTTCTTGCATATGTCCTTATCATTGAGTCTATTGACTCCTTTGATAAATGTACCCAAAATGTCACCCTCAAGATTCAATGAAGGACTACTTTGATCATTATCTTAATTTGCTCTCCCTGTACCTCCTCAAAACTACCTTACATCTCAATGATTTGTCTAGCTATTATATGGCTTTGTTCATTCATTTATAGAATCAAACAGTAGAATTCTTTTAGCTTGATCTCTGCTAGACTCTAGTTAGGTAGTAGATCTTTGAATATACCTTTAGTTCAAAGCATGCATCCACAATCACCACACCTAAACACAATTTAAATCATAATAGATTTGTGGGGTATCCCTAAACCTGTTTTATTTAGAGGTAACGAGATGAAGTACAAACTACAAATTTGTCAATATCAAACTCAAGTGATAGAATACGGGGTAAAGAGTAGAAAGAAGATCAAATGTTTGGCTCTCTTCAAAACCCACTCTCTATAGAATGAGTAATACATATGGGTTTCAAGTGCAACAAAAAAATGTAATAGAATGTGCAAAACAAATCTTACAATTACTTTAAAAAACATATTTTTAGATGAGTCAAACATTTGAATGTTATAGAATGTGCAAATCAAATGTTTTAAGCTGAAGTTGGTGAGCTCATGTTTAGCTTGCTCATCATTCATCATCATTTTAGATGAGTCTGCCCCAAAGATGTACAAATAAATCTCCATCTTTGCTAAAAAACATATAGATGAGGTTTAAAAAAAGTTATATTATTCTCTATATTATATTCTAATATAAATCATTGATTATACAGTTGTTTTCCCACGCAATGTAAACTTCTCACAAAGCCACAATGCCTTGTGCGTTAAAAATGAGGAAGTCCCCGCTTTCCCCCTACAACAAATTTGAAAGAGCAAACATCCCTTTCACGGCTGTGAATTTAACTCGAACATCATTAATCGTTCAAAAATTTATTTGAATTTTAGCTCGGATCATGATCAAATCGAAACAAATGAGTCGAGCAACGAGTTAAAATTTTGAATCGAGTTTCTTTTAGCCGATTTCAAGCCGACCTCAACTCGGCTCAAAATCTGGAGAAATATTTAGGTGCGGAATAGGAACGCAGAATTAGGTGCGTAAAGTAGGTTATTCAAAAGGTACTAGGGGTTATATCTGTGTTATTGGGGGTATAACCTCACTATAACCTCATAATAACATCTAAGTAAACTACAAATATATAAAGTAACATACAAATATATGAAAACAGAACCGCAGAACTTTTTTGTAGGTTATTGGGAGTTTATAGTGAGGTTGTACTCCCAATAACACGGATATAACCCCCTAATACCCTTTGAATAATATTCTTCCGCGCCTAATTCTACGTGCGTCTTCCATACCTAAATATTTCTCCAAAATCTTATCGTTATTTGGACTGTAAATTTAGTAAATTTAACTCAAAGATTGTTATTCACCTAAAAATTAATTCAAATTTTAGCTCGGATCTTAAAAAAAACAAAATGGGACCCTCT